GAATGTTCTGAGGGTGCTTCTTGAATGGTTTTTAAGGTCTATTGGCTGACCAGATCTAGTTCAGTGTATCCAGACCTAGACATTTGCTGCAAAGCCTGGCTAGGAGAATTGTTTAACCTGTTCTGCTTTCCATTTTTTGATGAAGTACTCGACATCCTCTGTTGACTTAGATGAGCTGGCTGTCATGTCATTTGTGTGCATCTGGACATGTTCTCTATTGCACAGGCATCAGGAATCAAGAAGGCCCAGTCCTGACACTTGCTTTCCAAGGCTGACCACATATATTGTGATTTTCCCTAAGACCGGGATCTGAGTCCAGTGGTCTAGTTGGGAGTCCCCCAAGAAACCTCATCTGGAGTATCCCCAAACTTGACTCTTGTGTGCACCAGCTGGTGCAGGGTCAGGTTCAGTCCATCACCTGCACCAGCCAGTGCACATACCAGTGGATGCAGCTACTTGGTCAGTTCCACTCCCAGGCCCATCTCACATGAACCAGCAAATGCTATGGTCGTCAGGACAACCTCCAGTAACCTTCACCAGGCCTGCCTCCAAACCCAATTTTTGCACATTCTGGCATGTGTTGCAGCCAAGCCAGGCCCATCCTGCTTCCCACCCAGATCTTATACACACTCATGGGTACTGTGGCTTAACTCAGCAAAACCTGCCCCCGACCTAGCCCACACATATGCCAATGGGTGATGCATTACTGTCCAGCCCAACCCACTGCTCCCCTGGTGCTCATGCTCACCAGTGTGAGCTGCAGTTTATCAGGGAAGTCCCCAAATTTCCCCCGCCACACCCAACCACAGCCCAAGATCTTGCACCTGCTAGAGGATGGTGCAGTCCAGTCTGATATGACCCACTCCCAATCCTGGAGTTCTATTTCCTGCTTTATTTCTCTCTTATTATCTCAAATAAATAAATTGGAATTTTAAAGATTTATTTATTTTCATTGGAAAGAAAGATCAGATTGACAGAGAGAAAGGAAGACAAAGATTTTCCATCCACTGGTTCATTCTGTAAATGACCTCAATGGTCATAGTTGAGCTGATCCAATACAAGAGGCCAGGAACTTCTGGGTCTCCCACCTGGGTGCAGAGTCCCAAGACTTTGAGGCTATCCTCCATTGCTTTCCCAGGCCAAAGCCAGGGAGCTGGATGGGAAATGGAGCAGCTGAGACAGGAACTGGCCCCTACATGGGATTCTGACACTTGGAGTTGAAGGATTAGCCCATGGAGCCATCATGCTGAGCCCAATAAATTAAGATTTTAAAATTAAAATACAGTCAGAACTGAGAGCAACTATAATAGGTTAATCAAAATTACAGAAGGAAGAGGTAGACACTGGAACAAAGTCAGAGTAAGAAATAACTAACAGTGTCTGCTGATATTACCAGTTTTTAATTTCCAAATAAGATGTGGAAATGTTTTGCATTGGAAACATTTAAAGGGTCTGAAAGTTTGGTGATGTGGGTAAAACCACTATTACTACAGATATTCATTTGTGAGTAGAACTGGCCTGTATATTGCTCCCACTCACACCAGCAACATGCAAAAACACCTGTTTTCCTACATTTTGCCAGATTTTCCTACATTTTTTGCTAAGATTTCTAGTTGTTAGCAATCTAATACTTTAAAATCTGATCGTTTACAATCATAGCTGCAGCATCTCATGTTAATTTTCAATGATCTGATCACTAGAATGGGAGAACATATTAAGAACATGAGTCACATTTTTTTCTGTGAATTGATTGTTTCTAGGTTTTATTAAGTTCTCTTTTGCCTTTTGTATCTCATTTTTATTGAGAGTTTTCAAAGACTTATTTATTAGAAAGACAGGGTTACAGAAAAAGAAGGAAAGTCAGAAACAGAGAAAGAGAGCTCTTCCATCCAGTGGGTCACAAATGGCCACAACAGCAAGGACAGAACCTGGCTGAAGCCAAGAACCTGAAATTCCTGCTGTCTTACCAGATCCATTTACAGACAGATGGATCAGGAGAATAGCCGGACTTGAACCAGTGCCCTTATGGGATGCCAGCTTCACAGGCAGCTGCTTCTGAGCTAGGCTAAGAGAAGCCAGGAACAGTGAGAGCAGTGCGACAATGAAAGATCCTGGAGAGAATCTGGGATGGTTGTAATCTCAGAGCCTGCTTCATCCAATTTAGGAAGCCACATGTACACCTAAGCATGGAAGGTGGCAGAAAACTGGCCAGTATGGTCACAGGAAAATGTCAGCCAAGCCAGGAAGGTTAAGGGGGTCTGAGCCACCCATTCCCAGCGCTGTCTGTGCAAAACCAAGGCCTTTGCCTTTCTCAGTTAACCTGGGCCAGTCTCTTCTGTAAAGATGACCAAGAGGCCGAACCTAGAAGTTGCTCTTGCCCGAAGAAGACAATATTTCTGCTGTTAGGTAAGGTGAAAGGAAATGTGGAAGCTGCCAGAAACAAAATGGAACTGCTTGTCCCAATCCTAATAAAGCTTGAGAACTAGGCAAGACAAGGGAGCAGACCCGGAACCCAGGGCAAAGACAGTAACTTGAATGTCACGCTCAGCATCTACGTATGCTACTGGAGCCAATCTCAGGTCAGGAGGCAGAGGAAAGAAAACTGAGTGTGACTCTGGCATCCAAAAGGAAATTGCTTTATTCCTGCATAGCCTAACGGCCTGGGGAATTTGAAGGACAGACAGGCTGAGCTCAAGTTCACGGTGTTTGGTGGAGAAAGTTGCAGCAGGCTCTTTGTGTAATGTTGTGAGTTACAATAGGGTCTTTTGTGATCATTACTATTAGGCAATCATGTCTAAGAACTTTTTATTCCTTATCTTTATTTATTATCAGCCCCTAACTCCAGTAATTGGCCACCAAGGTCCCTGAGTGTCTTAGAGAATATATGAAGAAGTTTTTTTCAGGAAAAATTTAAAAGTTCTTAATTTAAACACCTAATAACGTATCGATAGATACATTGTATGCTACCTTTAATGTTCTTTAAAATATATAACTTCTGCACTCCTCCTCCAGATGTCTTGGGAGAAACCCAAAGATGATACAACAAAGACAAAATGATAATAAGGTTGAACCTCAGGGCCAGCATTTGGCCTAACAATTGGGACGCCACTTGGGATATGTGTATCACATATCAGAATGCCCGAGTTTGAGCTGCACCTTTGTTCCCGATTCTTGTTTCCTGCAGATGTGCACCTGCGAGGTACCAGGGGATGATTCAAATGGTTGAATTCCTGACACCCACAGAAGGAGACCTGGACTGAATTCCAGGCTCTCAACGTTGACCTGGCCAATCGCAGCTGTTACGGGCCTTTGGGGAGTGAGTCAACAGACGGTGCATATCTCTGTGTATGCCTCTTTGTCTTTCACATCAACTTTTAAATATAAAAGTGGGATATATAGATATATATGTATTGAAGCCAGATAATGAGTATGTGGGGATTCATGATACTATTTGTTCTACATTTGCCTGCTTGAAAATTTCTGTAATAAAAGAACTATATAATACAATATAATAGAATACAATATAATATGTAATGTATATGTAATATATAATTTATATTATTTTATATTATATTATATATTTTTAGAAAATCTACTTGCTTTTGAAGAAAAGGGCATGTTTAGGACCAGATACTCATTGAGTGACTGACAGAACTGAGGCTAAAAAATGTGGCTTCTTATGTCATTTGGCTGAAAGCTTAGATGCATCTCCCTACATCCCCTCTACATTCCTCAGCACCTGCAGTGAAAAGTCACACCACAGGATGGCAGGGAGGGGAGAGGGGAGAAGAGATAAATTGGATGAAAGAGATGATCAGGATTTGAATTTTCTTCATTTATGTATCAAATTTAAGTCCTACAGCTTGTCTTATCCATGCTGGAGCTCAGTGTCTCTGTCATCTAAGCCATAATTGTCATTTCTCTCTGACAACAAAATGCTAGCATTAGAAGATGTTTGAAAAATGTGTAAGCAGACAACTTACTTTGCACCCAAATACTATGTGCCAAGAAGGCTATGGATGGGTAAGATAAAACACTACTTACTAAACCAGCAGGCTGAGCTCCTCTCTTTTGCTTTATGTTTCCTCTAAGAAATTAAATAAAGCAAGGAGATAATGCAAATCTTTATCTTCTTAACAGCTGAGCCAGAGGGAACTTTTTAAAAAGATTCATTTTTATTGGAAAGGTAAATTTACAGAGAGAAGAAAAGACAAAGAGAAAAATATCTTCCATCTGTTGGTTCACTTCCCAAGTGTCCACAATGGCCAGAGCTGAGCCAATCTGAAGACAGCAGACAGGAGCTTATTTTGTGTCTCCCACATGCGTGCAGGGTCCCAAGGCTTTGGGCCATCCTGTGTTGCTTTCCCAGGCCATAACCGGAGAGCTGGATGGAAAGTGGAGCCACTAGGACATGAATCAGTACCCATATGAAATCCTAGTGGCACTTGCAAATTGATGATCAACCAATTGAATCATTGTATTGAACCCAGAAGGAACTCTTTCAAAAAACTTGCATGATCAAAAATGGGAAGGTCCAGCTTCACACAGTAGTTCCAGGATGCTCAAACAAACAAATCACATTAGGGCAAGACTAACTACAATCTTCTGGACTTGGTCCCGACTCCAGGGCTGTGTCTAGTATCCAGAAGAAAGAGATCTATAAGAGTTGAAATCTACAGTCCCTGAAAATATGTCATCCGAATGCTTCCATTTCTTTGGCTGATCATGCAGGCTGGTCTGACGTGGGAGAGGAAATTGACCCCATTTCCCAGGTTCTTCTGCCACCCCCAGGTCCAGCCTGGGATCTTCTCAGTTCTCCAGTGAACATCTGTACCATGAGTCACCCTCCCAAGAGGATTGGATGTGCAAAGATTTCCAGAAGGGTCAGGAGGACCGGAGTGGGGAGGATGCACAGTAGCAGTCAGCCAGGAGGAGGGCAAGCTTTCAGAGTTGACCTTCCAGTTCCCTTTCACTAGGGCATAGATTGGTTCTTCCTCCTGTTACTCCCACTGGATGCCTAGAAGTTCGCAGCTCACATCCCACAGGCGCTCAGCTATTTTGTTATTTCGGGCACTTGAAGACACCCAGGTCCTCTTGCAGTCACTGGAGGGCAGAAAAGAGGGTGAATTGGCAGTCTGAAGACATTTATAGTCTCTTTCTTTGTAATATATTTCTAAATGTACACAACATAATATACTGAATTCAAAGAACCTAAATATCTTGAAATTCGGGGTTTCTAAAAAAATTATTGGAAAAACAGCAACAGAGAGAAGAAACAGAATGGATGATGCATACATAGCTGGCAGGAAGGTAGATAGATGATAAATACACTTTCATCTGCTGATTCACATCTCAAATGCCTACAACAGCCAGAACTGTCCGAGGCCAAAGGAGTGGCAAACAAAACTGGCATCTTGAAATACCTGCAATAACTGCAACGTGACAGGAAAATAGTTAAATTTTACTAGTGACAAAGTCGTGGATGTCATCACTGTTACTGCAATTGAAATGTCAACTTTCAAAGATAAAATCGTTTTCCCACCCAGGTTTTCAGACACCCCGAATGCCACATACAGACTTACTTGTGGTCCAGCAACCCCAGACCAAACAGCCCTGCTCAATTTTGCATTGAGCACAGGTGTGGGTATCTGGGGGCGTGGGGACTGGAGGGACACTGAAGTGGAGCAGATCTAATGACAAAGTTGTGTAATGCTATTTCTGTATAACATTTGGGATGTGTCAAGAAGAACATAAGAAAAGCAGCCTACTATTTAGTTGCTTTTCCTTACAGTCTTTTCCTTTTAGATTTATTTTTAGTTATTTGAAACTCAAAGTTTGGGGGTAACAGGGACAGACAGGGAGGGATTGAGAGAGAGAGATTCTAGCCACTGATTCACTCCCTAAGTGACCACAACGGCTGGGACAGGCTCTTGGCTTGAGCCTGTCCTCTCGTGTGGCTGACACCCAGCTCATTCTTTGTTGCTTTCCTAAGCACATTAGAAAGGAGTTCGATTGGAAGTGGAGTGTCCAGGACTCGAACTAGCACTCACCTAAGACGCAGGCACCACAGGCTGCCACAAGGTCAGCCACTCCTTACAGACTTGCTTGCTTTATTTATACATAAATAGGTATATAGTCTCCCATTTATATAAAATCAGCATCATTGTATCTAGTATGGGGAGGATTTCTTTCTTGAAAGGTGTTTGGAGAGGCAGACATTGGCCAAGTGGTTAGATACACACCTTCTGTAACAGATTTCCTGGGTCTAACCCCTGGCTCTGGGTCCTGACGGCCCTGCAGACCGTGGGAAGCAGTGGTAATGGCTAGGGTGGTTGGGGCTGTCCACCCACACAGGACACCTGGACTGAATTCCCAGCACTAGTCTTCAGCATTGACCCAGCCCTGCCTGTTGTGGTCATCTGGGGCGGGAAATCTCTCTCTCTCTCCACCTCTCAAATAATAATTTGAAAAAAATGAATGCTATAAAAAAATACCTTACTTACGCAAATAACAAATATTTGATTTTCTGCAGTTTTTGAAATAATAAAGAAACACCTAGAATAAAAAGTATAAATCTTCCTCTGGAAACCACTACTACTATTGAGGCTGAGCAGCCTTCCAGATTGTTCTTTATGTATTCACACAGAACATGTATAGTCTTATCTTGTGGTTATTTTTCCTCAAACAATATCACCAACATTTTCTTGGTAATTCAATCATTTTAAAAGATTATATTGAATGATTGTATAATATGTTATCACGGGCTTAAGGCCATGATGTTGAACCCTCAGAATCCAGAGTAGATATGAACCACAAATATGAACCACACAGGTGATGCAATTTTAAATGTTCTAGTAGCCATCTTTACCAAATAAAGAGCAGGAAATGGATTTTAGTATTATCTGTTATTCAAACCAATGTGAATGTTTGTCAAAACAATTTATAGAAAATGGAGTTCAAAGATGTTTACCCTGGGGTCCAGTGTGGTAGCCTAGGGGCTAAAGTCTTTGTCTTGCATGCACCAAGATTCCCATATGGGCAGCTGTTGTAATCCCAGCTGCTCCATTTCCCACCCAGCTCCCTGCTTGTGGCCTGGGAAAGCAGTCAAGGACAGCCCAAAGCCTTCAACCCCATGGATGGAAGATGTTTTTTCTCTATATCTCCTTCTCTCTGTATATCTGCCTTTCCAATAAAAAATAAATCTTAAAGAAAAAACTACCTTGGTGCAAGAAGGGTTTGGCCTTTGCGGCAGGCAGTTGGCCTAGCAGTAGAGATACCAGTGTCCCACGCTGGAGTATCAGGTTCAATACTTGCTCTACACTCTGGCTTTTTAGCAGGTGGCACAGAGGGCTCAAGGAATCACATTTTTGCCACTTATTTGGGAACTAGCCTGGAAGTTCCCAGCTCCCAGTTTAGCCTTCAATAAGCCCTGGCTATAATGGGCATGTTGGGGAGTGAACCAGTAGAAAAAAGTTCTCTCACTTCCCATGCCCTCAAATAAAGAAGCATAAAAATAAATTTTTGGAGAAGTAGTTATCTGGCCCAGTAGTCAAGCTGCTAGTTAAGATGCTTACTTGCCATATAAAAGTTCCTGGGTTTGAGTCTCGCCTCCATTCCCAATTCGAGCTTCCTACTGATGTGCATTCTGGGAGGCAGCAGGTGAGGGCTTGGTCTCTGCCACCCACATCAGAAGCCTAAATCAAATTCCTGACTTTTAGTTTTGACCTGATCTATAGCACATGGGAACACCAGCTCTCTCTGTTATCTGGCTCTGGCTTGCTCAGTCCCTCAAATACATGAAATAAAGTTAAATCTTAAAAAAAAAAAAAGGGCCCAGCGGTGTGGCCTAGCGGCTAAAGTCCTCCCCAAGAACATGCCAGGATCCCATATGGGCTCCGGTTCTAATCCCGGCAGCTCCACTTCCCATCCAGCTTCCTGCTTGTGGCCTGGGAAAGCAGTTGAAGACAGCCCAAAGCCTTGGGACCCTGCACCTGTGTGGGAGACCTGGAGGAGGTTCCTAGATCCTGGCTTCCAGCACTGGCCGTTGCGCTCACTTGGGGAGTGAATCATCGGACAGAAGATCTTCCCCTCTATCTCCTCCTCTCTGTATATCTGACTTTGCAATAAAAATAAATAAATCTTTGAAAAAAATCTGAAAAAAATCTTTTTGTTGAAAGTTATGCACATTTTTTCATAAAACATACTTTTTCATGAATTTATTGTTGGAGTCCTCTTCTATGCATGGAGTTAAATTATTTTTTTTGCTCCAAAATAATTTATTTTAATTCCATTTTCCATAAACCTTCTGAAAATATCTTTCACAATATGCATTTACATAAATTGATTTTGAAAGGCAGAAAATCAGAGAGAGAGAACAAGAAACAGATGTTCTACCAGTTGGTTCACTTCTAAAAACCACAACATCTGAAACTGGGTCAGACCTGACCAGTAGGCAACAGCGTCACAGCCCTTGAGCCACTATCCACTGTCTCCCAGGCAGCCCATTAATAAGATGCAGTGTCTGGAGTAGAGCTGGGATTTGAACCCAGGCAGTCTGATATGGGATGTGGGCAGCACAATGGGTGTCCTTTACCAAGGAGCTGAAAGTCTGCCCCTCCACAAATGTTTTGAAGTTCCTTCGTATAGCCAAATCAGCTCAGGATTTAATCGACGTTAGAAACATGAATGAAATATTGTAATACTTCCTTTTTATACTGTCTTCAAATTCTAGTACAGATTTTACACTTCAGGTCACTTCAATTCAAGCTAGCCACGTTTCAAGCACTCAAAAGTGCCACGAGTGGCTGAAGGCCACCAAATGGAACAACACAGCTCTACAGCTAGACTGTGTAGCATAAATCCCACCTCACCTGCTGAGAGCTGGGTGACCTTGAGCAAGATGCTTATTGGCGCCGAGCCTCAGTTTCACAGAGTTAGGGTACTGACATGAACCGATGCACATGAAACACTTCAGGGGGTGTCAACACCCTGGAGAGCTCAGGCCACCTTTGCTGTTAGAACGTATCCATCCCCAACTGTTGGACACGGAAGTTATCTGACTTTTCATTCAAATGGTGCACTGGTGAACAGTCTTGAACAAGACAAGACAGCAGAACAGACTGGGCTGACTTACATCCTAGAACAGGAGGGGGGTAAATCCTCAACTTCCCTTATTCCAGGCTCTGTTTGCCCACCGATTTTGTGGTAAGATTCGGTGCTGAAATTTCTGTATCTTTGAACAGACAGAGGCGATCTTGACAGACTTGGGAGACCAGCAGACTTTCTGCCAGCACTTTGTGCTAAGTGATATTAAAGAATGTATGATTTAAGTCAGCCAGAAGCCTGATGAAGAAGAAAGAAAAAGGATTCAGAGGGCCCACTAATGTTCTTTGCACAGCATAAGCAACAGGAATGGTTCTTCTTTAACCGCTCTCAGAAAGCTACTGATTACAGGCGCAAGGATATAAAATAGGACCATCAAATGACTCTTCTAACACGACTTTCTAAGGTATGGTTCCTTGAAAAAAAGTAGCAGCATTTGATCCTGGGGCCCCAGTCAAACCTGGATTCCATCCTCAGACACAGACTTTGTGGGACCCCGGAATTCCAGGGTGTTTTGCACCCAAGGCCACAGGTGGTGCGGGAGACCCAACCGGCCCTGCACGCACCTGAAGTACTTGCCGCTCAGGGGCTCCAGGTCCTCAGCCAGGGCGCAGTGCAGACTGGTCTGGGCCCCTTCTCGGGCCGACTTGACAAAGACAGAGAAAAGCCGCCAGAGCAGGCACAGCAAGAAGGAATGACGCACCAGCTCGGAGCTGACGATGCCTGGGTGCACCGCGTAGGTGGTGACTCCCGTGCCTAGGGCCAAAAGGGAACGGTGAGATCGGAGATCTGCAGTGAGACACACGAAGGAGAAGGGACTCGGGAAACCTAACTCCTGGGCCTAGAAGATACTACTCCCGGCTCAGCAGAACCTGCCTATTGATCCTGACCTGGGAATTGATCTCTTCCAGAAAGATCTACAGCCTTTGCAGGCTTCTATGCTTCAAATGGACTGCCTGGTACATGGCCCTTCTATTTCTTTATTTTTTGAAGATTTATTTATTTTTATTTTGAAAGGCAGATTTTACAAAGAAGCAGCAGAAACAGAGAGGTCTTCCATCCACTGGTTCATTCCCCAGATGGCTGAGCTGATCCGAAGCTGGGAGCCAGGAGCTTTTATGCAGTTCTCCAACAGAACTCCATGTAAGGCTTCTATGTGAGGGCAGGGCTCCAAGCGCATGGGCCACCTGCTGCTGTCCCAGCTGCAGTAACAGGAAGCTGGATTGGAAGCAGAGCATCTGGCGCTGCAGTATGAGATGCCAGTAATCACAAGCGGTGACTGACTCTACTGTGGTTCCACTGCCAACCCCAACTTCCGGCTGACGTTTACTCTGGGTCAAGCAGCAGAGTCCCTGTCAACGCCAGCGAAGACCGGGATCGAGTTCTGGGCTCCTGTGTTCAGCCCTGGGGCGTGGACATTAGGAGAACCAACTAGTGGTTGATTCTCTTTCTCTCTCTCTCTCTCCTTTCAAACAAACAAATGAAAATTTTAAAATAATACCACTCTACTTGTTCTAAAGCTTGTTGTGAAAATCAAATTAGGAAGGGTTGGTATTAATATACAGCTTGGAAGGCAGCAGTTTTTGACTCAAGATATGAGTTTCTGCCACTCACTTGGGAGACTTATGACTCCTCCCTGGCCTAGCTACACTTGTAGGCATTCAGGGAGTCAATCAGTGGATGAAAGGTATCTCTTGGACCTGGCACAGTAGCCTAGTGGTTAGAGTCCTCAGCTTGCATGCACCAGGATCCCATCTGGGCACCAGTTCTAATCCCGGCAGCCCCACTTCCCATCCAGCTTTGTTTGTGGCCTGGAAAAGCAGTCAAGGATGGCCCAAAGTGTTGGGACCCTGCACCCATGTAGAAGACCCAGAAAGAGGCTCTGGGCTCCTGGCTTTGGATTGGTTCAGCTCCAGCCATTGCGGCCATTTCAAGGAGTGAATCAATGGACAGAAGATCTTCCTCTCTGTCTCTCCTCCTCTCTATGTATCTGACTTTCCAATAAAAGAAAATCTTTTTTTAAAGAAAGGTATCTCTCTATTTCTCTGCCTTTCTTATAAATCTTAAAACAAACAAAAACAACAACAAAAAAATATTTCTGGGGCCAGCACTGTGGTATAGTGGGTAACACTGCTGTGTGCAGCACTGGCCTCACTTGAGAGCACCAGTTCAAGACTGGCTGCTCCTACTTCCAATCCAGCTCCCTGCTAATGCATGGAAGAAAGCAGTAGAGCACAGCCCAACTGCTTAGGCCCCTACACCCACATGGGAGACCAGGAAGATGCTCCAGGTTCCTGGCTTTGGACCAGCCCAGCCCTGGCCATTACAGCCAATTGAGGAGTGAATCAGCGAACAGAAGATTCTCTCACAGACGCACATGTACACTGTCATTGTCGTTCTAGCTCTCCATCAGTCTGTGACTCTGCCTCACAAACAAATAAAGTAAATCTCTTTTTTAAAAAAGAAAAGCAAATGAGCTGACATGTGCCATCAATGAAAGGTAACTTCACAGCACCCCTAACTCCTATTTCAAGATCAAGTTTCTCAGAAGGCAAGGAGTCTGTTTTGCTGTTCCTTTACTAACCTCATTCTCCCTAGCGAACAAAGTGACTCTAACATGTGCATGACTGCTAGCCTGATTCAGAAATGTCTACGAACCTCTAATGTGATCCAAGGACCTTGTTTTTACCACTTTAACCCCAGCCTTTTCCTCTGGCTTACCTTGGAGCCTCTTGGCCAGCTCACGGGTGAAAAGCACGTTGGCCAGCTTGCTTTGGCAATAAGCAAAGCCACTGCAGTAATACTTGTCACTCTGGAGGTCATGGAATCGGATCTTGCCAGCATGGTGGGCCACTGATGCCAGGTTCACCACCCGGGCAGGAGCAGACTCCTTCAGCCGCTGCAGGAGCAGGTGCGTGAGAAGGAAGTGACCTGCAAGGAGAACCAGCAGGGGAGTCTAAAGGGTGGAATGGCTGCCTGGGCTCAAGGCGTGGGAACTGCTGACAGGGCTTCAGTATTAGATCACCGTTTTTTGGGTGTGAGCAAATGTCGCTGTCATGAGTAACTGAGTACTAATAGTTAGTTAGTCTCCGTTAGTGGATTTCCCCAGAGCAAAGGCCAGACCTAGACTACAGGTAAACTAACAATACCTCATCTGTACTTCTTTGCTCTTGCCCCAATCAGGAGACTGCTGAGTTTCAGGAGCCTAGAGGACCATGATTGCACAATCACGGCATAGTCACACTTAGAAGGAACGGTGCGAGCGTCAGGGAGAGTAACATTTGCCTATGATCAGAGAACATGCTCTGTGCTATCCTCTCGAGAGAACCCACCTTGCACTCTGAACCATGGCCTATCTTGTACTTCAAGTTCTCAAGGTTCACCTACTTCCACAAACCAACCCTCAGCTTGCCCAATCCAGACTCCTGTGTGCTCCAAGGGCCTGGCCCAGCTTAGAAAACTTGCATTGCCCTGGTCAATCCAACAACAACATCCTTCTCCTTAATAGCTTCTGAGAGTTGGGGTTTCTTAATACGATGGGTAGGTTTTTGCTATTTTTGACTGGTCAGTAGAGGGACAGTCTAGGGGTGCAATCCATTGGAATCCAAGGGTCCCTGAAGCCCACTGGAGATTGTTCACACTAATAAGGGGGCATCTCCCACAAGGACTCAGGTGGGGCTCTGCCACACATTTCAGTCACCCAGAGATACTTACCCAGATGATTGACTCCCAAGTGGGTTTCAAAACCATCGGCCGTCTTGGAGTATGGACACAGCATCACCCCCGCGTTGTTTATCAGAATGTGGAGCTGTTTTTCCTCTACAAAACACACCCAAGGAGACCCCATGGTTAGCCAGGAACCTACCAGCCACCTGTCAAAGCCCCCCGCCCTTGTGGGGTACACTGTCTTTGTGGGGTGAAAGATGCAATATCGCCTTAACCATCAGTAACCACCCCCACCTTGGTCCTCGCTCACTGCTATGTGACTGCCATCCTCATTGGGTTTCTAGTTTTAGCTGCGTATCTCTTCCGGGATACTGTACATTCACCTTTTTTCCCTCCAGCAAGTGTATTCTGGTTACTGACTATACCAGGCCACTCTTTTGGGCACCAGGAACCCTGCCCCTCGTGACTTTTATTGTTCTTCATGGAAGTGGATAATTTTTGAAGAGCCAGAAGATTTCTAGTGGTAGCAGCACACACTCATTTAGTGCCCTTGGCCACCGAAGGCTCATTCTCAAAATGAAAAAAAAAAAAAGTGAGTGGCATCAAGGTGTGGCCTTGATGCCACGAGGCGAGCCCAGACAGGGAGCTGACACCTCCAACATTCCCACTGCTGAGGCAAAAAGAGACGATAAGGATCCTGCCTGGCTTGTCCACCCACCCTGCACTTGCCAGTTCTCTGTCCTGCAGGTTCCTGTGGCAGAACCTGTCCAGTGAGATCCACCACGACGATTCTGATGATGGTTGCAGATTGTCCAGGGCGAGGTGGCCCCTCCCATCCCGAGGTTCCTGCTTTTCCAGCTATCCAACCAGGGCCTCACCTGCCAGAAAGCCTTCAGCAAAGGCACGGATGGATCTGGTGTCAGAGAGGTCCAGTTTCCGCACCAGCACTTGGGAGTTCTTGGTATCTGCTCGGATTTCACTGGCAGCAGACTCCCCCTTCAGGATGTCTCGGCAGGCAATGTACACTCGGGCTCCTGGGGTCAAAACAAAGAGCAGGCAATGTGCTCAGAGGCAAGGCTGAAAGAGGAGAGCTAGAAGAGGGGAGGGTGTGTGAGCAAGCTTGGGCCTGGTGCTTCCAGCAACCTCCTGGTCTTCCCTACATTCCCATTGCAGGATGCTTATAGAAGGACTACTTAGGATTCGGTGCTTATGAAAGTGTTTATTTATTATTTATTTCAGCTATTTGAAAGGCAGAGAGTCAGAGAGAGAGAGAAACATCTTCCCTCCGTTAGCCCCTTTCTGCCAGTGAGCCAGCAACAGCCAGCGAAGAGCGAGGCTGAAACCAAAAACCCAGAATCTCATCCAGATCGTGCAGATGAGTGGCAAGACACTAAGCACCTGAGCCGTCACCTGCTGCCTCCCAGAGCACGGCAGCATAAAGCTGGATTAGAGGCAGAGAGGCCAGGAACTCAAACGAGTACTGATAATGGGATGTGAGTGATGCAGGGAGCAGCTTAGCCTGCTGGGACCCAATACTCAGTGTTCTTGCTGTCAGCTTAATACGCCACTAATGTGATTTTACACCCCGATGTTACTTAGTCTCTCCTTTTAGAGCAACTGTATTACAAGGGATCTTCGTGAAGTTTGTGGAAATTGCATATTATGAAGAAAAAAAAATGATGTGCATGGTTTTTTGCCCTAAAATTTATTTCCCTTTAATTTCTAAGTGTCATTACATACATAGACATCACTGATGTTCTCCTTCGATTGTGAAGGTACAAGGAGGTTGAAAGCCACAGAGTAAACTAATATCACCTTTGAAGTTGAAATCCCAGGGTTCTTAAATTCCTGGTCAGGAGAGGCGGGCAGAGCCCCGGGGGAGAAGGGCAAGAGGCACTGCCCTACGGAGATGGAGAAGACTTGCCTCGGCGAGCGAGCTCTCGGGCAGTCTCCTTGCCGATGCCTGTGTTGGCGCCAGTGATCACCACCACCTTCCCAGGAAGCTGCGTGTTTGTCTGACAGACTCCACCAGCAAAGAACTTCCTATCAGCAAGGGAAACAAGAGCGTCACACACCACCCTTCCACAGTGCACTCTGAGATGCAGAAGATAAAGTGATCCAGGCTAGGAGCTACGTATCTTCAAGGTGTGGCAAGGTGACCCAAAGAAGCTTATCTTCCTGGGACAAAGATCTTTTTTAGTGCACTTCTTTATTTTCATTTTATTTGAGAGAGAGAGCGAGAGAGAGAGCGCTTCCATCCATTGGTTTGCTTCTCAGATGGCTGCAACAGCCATGGAGGCTGAGCCAGGAACTCATTTCAGCTCTCCCACATGGGTAGTAGTGACTCAATCACTGAGCCCTCAATCACTCCCGGCAAGCAGGAAGCTGCATTACAGGTTGAGGAGCTGGGACACAAACCAGGCACTTTGATAGGCAATGCACATGTCCCAAGTAGAAATTTCACTACAACACAAAACACCAAGTCCAGGACAAGGATTTCTATCAGACAAGGTGGTTGCCAGCTCTTCAGCATGTGCCAGGAAGCTACATCAACTGGGTGAATACAGTAAGTACCGAGCCAAGGTCGAAGCAGACCTCCCCTGCTGCATGCCAAAGGCTTTTTAGCTCCAAAGGGTTTTTTTGGAAATTGGCCTTCTCCTGCAGCCTACACCCAGGACACATACATGCTGGCAGCCTTGGTGGCCCTGAATTCTAGGTCTTCAGAACGCATCCTTGGGGGTACCTGAGCCACAGCACTTGGGGGGAGGGGGAGCGACATTCACAAATACCACTGCTGAGCTGCATCTCCTGTTTCTGACAGTAGGCTGTCCTTAGGGGCTTTCTACCATTATTTTAGAGATTTTATTGTGGCTATCAGCACACACAGAGGGAAAAATGTCTCTTGTTCAGATCTATGTTCACACAGCATCTCTCAACATGAAGCTGACATCACAAGTTTCAGAAAAGAAGCCAGAGGGAAACCAAAGTGGTGTTTGGCACCAGGCTCTGGGCTGGGCATGTTCCAGTACAACTTTCACATTACAGCAGAGAAAAAGGAGGATCAGAAAGACCAAGTCACTTCTACTGGTGGTGGGACTTGGATTCCAACCCAGATATTTATGCCAGAACCTCAATCACACCCTGTTCCTCATGTTTAGCCTTCTGAACCACCAACACATTTTAAACTCTTCGCTGGGTACATGGATCACTTTGACGTGTCCATAAATTTCACAAGAAAAAGAGCCAGCTCAAAACATCAGTGGAGGATCAGCTGAAAGGGAGACCTTCCTAGAATGCCTGGGCTGAGTTCTTCAACCAAGCCCACCCATGACCGTCCTCCAGGGGCCATCTTGGCCAGTGACACAAGAAGAGATCTTAAGAGAAACCCAAGAGAATCGAGTGAAAGAGCCACAACTCCACCTAAGGTGTCTGTTGAGCTACTTTGAGCAATGCCAACCACTCAGCCTGCCAGCAGCAGCAGAATTCAAATCAGCCCTGTCTTGCTCAGCTGCAGGTACTGCCTTCTGGTATACCTCCACCCTGGTATCCATGGCTCCTCCTTCCTTTCTGCTTTTTCTCCTTGACTGTCTAACTCCCTCAGCTACCCGCCCTATCTCACAGCAGCCAGGACTCTGCAAGCAGTAGGTAGGAATTGTTAAGACAAACCTGATAGATGGAGCTGTCACATACAAAACAGAAAGGAAAGAGGTGAGCACTCCCAGGACAACCAGCATCTTTTCAACTTCTTCAGTTGCTGCTGCTGCTCCAGCCTCCATCCTCCCAGCTCTGTCTGGCTCAGGCTCCCGGTCCGGCTCCAACTCTAGGCTGCTTCTTCCTTCCCTTGTTGCCTGCTTGCCTGCCCAGTGCTCAGCAACAGCCTGGCCCTGAGCAGAGCCCAGAATCCTATTTAAATCCGAGGGCTGTTGGAGCATAGCCTCCTGGGAGATGTAGTCCTGGGCCGGTGGAAACGGGGGAGGGACTGAAGGTGAGATCAGAAGCTGACACCTGCGGACCAGGACAGTACGGAGGAAGCTGGACTACCGGTCTCCTAACTCTCTCACTATTAACAACTTCCTGACCTCTATGCCTGCAGGATGGAAGATTTTTAACTATAGCAACAGATTCCATGGTGCCTGAAAGACAAGCATGATTCACATAGAAAGTTCCCGAAGAAAGGTGAGAGAAGTCATCCTTAGTGAGGCTGGATTAGTGATTGAGAAGGGAGGGGAGGCATGACAGGAACCCCTAAGGGGTTAGCGCATTGTTGATCTTTAAGTCGGGCACTAGCATGCCCAGGTAAATTCTGGGAAAAACGTCTTTTGGATCACACACGTTTGGTTTGCACTTTCCTGTGTTTTATATTATACATCAGTGAGGCTGACACACATGCACACAAGCCAAGAGAAGGGCTCCGTGTTTGGGTACACGGATTCCAGAGCTGGACTTGCTGGTTCAAATCCCATCTATTCCCTCTTTGACCCTGGGCACATAGAAGCTCATTTTCCTGCTTCCTACTAGAGCATGCTAGAAACAAAATGTCCATCTTTTCTACACATTCCACTATGAAATAGAGGATTTGAGAGAGGAACTAGTTCCTTGTAAACACATCAGAGTCCTGTCGCGGTCAGCTGTACTGCTTTCTGCTCTCCCTGCTGTCCCACTTGCTTTGCACAGCAGTGTGATGTAGGAGAGAGGTGTTGAATGAGGGTGATGCTTTAATGGCACGTTGTGCAAGAGGATGAGAAGCACAAGGAAAAAAAAAAAGCCAGCAGAAAACCCTCAGAGCCTCTGGCTGCGTGAGAGGGGATTTCAGAAGGAAAAGCGGGGTTCGTTGCCCCTGTTCACTTGCTGTGTCTTTCTGGAAAAGGAGCTGGGAAACAATCGCAGGCATCATCCTCCATTCCTGTCCTTTCCTATGAAGCCAAAGCAGTCTCCGAGAAGACTCATGCGTGAAACAGCAGTCCTGTGGCAGGCAGGTGTTCAATCCTTTGTTCACGTGTTCGCCCATCCAGGCAACACAGAGCACGTCTCAATGTCAGGCACTGTACAGTTCCTGTCTCGTGGGAAGCCCGTGGGCATGATCAACTGAACAAGGAGAGATCAGGGCATGCCCAGGGGGAATGCCTCTAGCTTAGTACCCAAGATGCCTTCTACTCGTCTTGACTTTGGGAGCCAGAAAGCCCTGAAGAACCTCATACAGTCCTTTGAAGAGAAGATATTAGAAAGAAGACAAGACATCTAGAATTATGGAGATGCACAGTAGGCTAGAAGCAAATACTAAATATTATAATCCAGAGACCTCCATCAGACCATTGATTAGCTTCACCAAAATGTTAAATGAATATTACAAAGTTAATACCTTGTTTTTAAGTTACTTCTTTTACTTATTTGGAAAAGGAGAGCGAAAACTCTCATTATGTGGTTCACCCCTCAGATGCCCACAACAACCAGGGCTTGGCCAGGCTGAAGCCGGGAGCTCAAAGCTCAACCCATGTTTCCTGTGTAAGTAGTAGAGATCCAACTCCTTGAGCCACCACCTGCTGCCTCCCAGGTGTGCATCAGCAGAAGCTGAGACTTGAACCCAGGCACCCCAAAATAAAATGCAGGTGTCCCAGGCGGTACCTTAGCCACTATTCCAAAGCCTGTCTATGCTTGTATTAATTTTAACAGTGGTGTACAGGTAGGTGAGTAGATAGAATGTGAAGAACAGAATGGACCCAAATATGGATCAAATAAATCCAAATTTATATGGTCACTTAGATGGGGGAAAAAAACCCTGCCAATTCAGGTCAGATGGGGAAAGGCAGATTACTTAATCATAAATTCTAACACCTACATATTCAATCAGGAAATGGTAAGCTTGATCCTAAGTCTACACTTTTCACCAAAATTCTGACAGGTCAAAGACACAACCATGAAAAATGAACCCCTCAAAGCATTAAGAAGAACCACCGGACAGATTTTTAAAATAATTTGAGAATGGTAAGAACTTCCTAATATGACAGAAACCCAGGGGGAAAGAAATCTTTCAACAAAATCCACCATGTGCAAGAAGGCAAGGCAATGAGAAGCTTGGAGGTTCACAAGACATGTCGCAGACAGTCTCAGTTATTTGGTGTACAAATAACTCTTATAAATCAAAAAAAAAAAAAGAACAACCCTGTTGAAAGAACCATTTAGGGAAAGGAAAATCCCAGTCGTTCATGGACCTCACTCAGGACAAGAGCGGCAAATTGGCAGCAAGGATCTGGACTCCCCTGGCTCCTTACTGGTTTAAACCTGAGTAGGGGGCCTGGCGCAGAGCCTAGCGGCTAAAGCCCTCACCTTGAAAGTGCCGGGATCCCATATGGGCGCCGGTTCTAATCCCAGTGGCCCCGTTTCCCATCCAGCTACCTGCTTGAGGCCTGGAAAAGCAGTTGAGGACCACTCAAAACTTTGGGATCCTGCACCCGTGTGGGAGACCTAGAGAAGGTTCCTGGCTCCTGGCTTTGGATAAGCACATCTCTGGCTGTTGCAACCACTTAGGGAGTGAATTATCAGATGGAAGATCTTCCTCTCTGTCCCTCCTCCTTTCTGCATTTCTGACTTTGCAATTAAAAAAATATTTTAAAAACAAAACTGAGTGGGGCAGATGGTGGTATCCAGTCTGAAAGGGAGGCGCTTGATTTTGTGAGTTGCTTCCATCCTGTCTCAAGCACATTACCTTACTAAAAGGAAAGCAAGCTTGCTACCAGTATGTCACTTCCACTGGTTTTCCCTTTAGAGATCAGCAACTCCTTCACCTTCAACGTTCATCAAGCACTCTTGACCTTACAGGCCTGGTGGCTCTCTCGTGCGGGCAGACCTGAGCGTTGGAGGATGGCTGGCAGCCTCCTTGGCCTCTGCCCACTGAGATGCCTGTAGCAATGCTACCTCCTTGTGTCAGTGAAAGGTAACTCCAGACATTGCCACTGTCCACCGTGAGACAACTCATTCCCACTGGGGAATCCCTGCCCTCCATGGCGGACCCCAAGGTACCCCGATTCATACATTGTTGGAAAGGATTAAAGCACAGGTCTCTCTTAGTACTCCCTGCCTTTGACTCAACCCCAGCTGAGTTAATCTGCTTACTGTCCATGGCGAGTTATTAGCGCCTTCTCAGGGCCTCTGGCCATCTGTTAACCTTCTTGACCTTGAGAACTTGAACTTCCCTAGCTAAACCTAGATCGCTTTGCCTCTGATCACTCTGTTAACGCGCACACGCACACTTCAACAACATTTCACATGAGTGACTTTTAAGGTGACAGAAATACTCTGCGTCTGGAAGAGGGTCTGGATTATACGGGTCTATGTAATTGTGAAAACAGCAATCACACCATAATATCCATGCCTTAATTGTATAAATTATACACCAAAGGGAAAGAACTATAGTGTTGAATAACACAATGGAGTTAGTCTACTTAACAATATACATGGTGCTGAAGTTTTAGCAGGGAAAGCGTACTATGGGTTACATCTTTGAAAGATACTAATGAAATAATATGGATTGATGGATAGAGAAAGTGCAATGAGCATTTTACTGTATTTGCTTCAAATAGGAGGTAAAATAAGTATAGAGAAGTACATCGTTTTTTTAATTTAAGCGATGGATTTATGGATATTTACTTTCAATTTTCATGAATAGTTGCACATTTCCAGATTAACACAGTGGAAATCTGTTTGCATGAATACAAGCACCTGTGCACATATCGACATGGAAAGTTAAGGGCATCACATTTGGGCACAGTGTGATAGCCTAGTGGCTAAAGTCCTCACCTTGCACACACCAGGATCCCATATGGGCGCTGATTCATACCCTGGCTGCTCCACTTCTCATCCAGCTTCTTGTTTGTGGCCTGGGAAAGCAGCAGAGGACGGCCCAAGACCTTGGGATCCTGCACCCACGTGGGAGACCCAGAGGAAGTTCCTGGTTCCTGACTTTGGATAAGTTCAGCTCTAGCCTTGTGTCCACTTGGGGAATGAATCAATGAATGGAAGATCTTTCTGTCTCTCCTCCTTTCTGTATATTTGACTTTCCCACAAAAATGAAGAAATTTAAAAAAAAGAAAAAAGGAGCATCACATTTCAGAATAGAAAACTGGGTTGGAGGTGAGTTCCACGTCACTTAGGATGCCTGCCTCTCTTACTGGATGCCTGGATCCAAGTCCTTGCTATGTGCTGAGTCCAACTTCCTATTGATGGATGTCCCTGCCATCCATGCAGGAGACTTGGACTCAATTTTGAGCTCCTAGCTTCTTTAAAATTCAATTGAAGTATGCCCTTTCTCTGGAGCTTTTACCATCTAAGTCAACATTCCCTTCTCTTGTTTCCAGACGCTATATTTACCTCCCACAAGAAAGCCATGATACTTTGATGTACAGCTTATTTAGGCAAAGTATCACCTCCCTTGTTTGGGGATAGAAAAGAACTTGCAGTCTGGTGTTTCCCCCGTGCTTGGGACTGTGGTGTTAAAAGAGTAAGAAGCAGACATGGAACCAGCAGTGATGAATATGGCTGAGTTTGAAGTAATTTCTCAGTGATCATGAAATTCTAGAATATTCTAATTTAAGTTGTAGGAATCAAAATGGGTCACTTGTGTAAACCCCAATAGAAAATTAACGAGAAGGTTCTAAAGAAGATGAGCTTGTGAACCTGTGTCTGATAACAAGAGCCATTTGCCAAGCAGTCTGCAGAACCAGAATTTAGCACAAGGACCAGT